TTTTTTTTTTTTTAACACTTCACCTTGGATGGTGCTAGGGGTGCTGATATGAACAGACACCGCTAGCACCCCCAGGCAGGCTCCATCTATTAGTGGGGAGCATCACCTGCTGGAAACCAGGTCCAGTGTCCCTTACATTTGAAAAGAAAAACATGAGATGTCGTGCGATAGCCTGCTGGAAACCGGGTCCAGCGTCCCATGGCTTTGTATCCTATCTCACTCAAAACAAAACCCCTTGGCCTAGGGCCCAGCAGGGTCACTGGGGGGCACCAGTGGTCCCTGCCTGTCCCCTAGTCCACCTTCCAGCTGGGGCCTGGCTCAAAGACTCCGAAGTCTCTGGGCAGTTTCTGTACGTGGTTGGTCCAGAGATTCCGGAGGGGGTAAAAGTCCAATTTAGGGATGCCCCCCTTGGTTTAAAGAAAGTAGGGCTCTTGAAACACAACGGGGAAAAAACTCTGTCATCTACCGGGGGATACTTGGAAAGCAGAGTCTGGTCCCCGGACTCCTTCCCCTCCCCGGCCACTCAAGTTGTCCTGCTGCACGAGGACGCCTCTGCCCTTCAAGTGGAGCCGGCCCTCTTTGGATGGAAGAGCCTAACTTCCCCAAACTCTTTCTCCCCAGCCTATCAGTACCGAGCAAAATGGGGCGTCAGCATTTGTAGATCCAGGATCAAGAAACAGGCTGTTGTCACGGCCTCCATACGTTTAAGCAAGGAACCTGGTTTCCAACTGGGGTCTCTAGATCTTCACAGCCTGTGGAAGGGATTGAAAAGTATTCCCTCCCAGAAACAGGCCAGTATAATGTGGATTCAATCAATGCTTGCTACCCCCTCTGCTTCCTGGCTAGCTGCTAAGGGAATGGAAATCTCTGAACGGTGCCCAAGGTGCTCCTGGGGTTGGGAGACTGCAAGCCACATCTGGCTCTACTGCCCATTCGCTCACCAACTTTGGTCCTGGTGGCGTCAACACTGGGAATCTATAACAAACGGAGAATTTCTGTGGTCCCAGGAGTGGACCCTATACGGTAACGCACCTCAGGGCGCAAATCTCTCTGAAGGTTGGGGTTATATGGCTCTGGCCTGCAGGGGCGCTCTCTTTGAAACTATTTGGAAGGCCAAAAACAGTTCGGTTTTCAAAGGAGAGCAAATCTCGATACAAAGCCAGAAGGCCCTGCTAAAGAGCCTGATACGCCTATCCATCAGGGCAGACTGGAACGCAGTCAAGTCACATTCGAAAAAAAGTATGGGATGGTTTAGACAAGCATGGGCTAGGGACGGGAGACTAGAATCAATCCTTCTTTTT